GGCGCCCTGGTCTTGGGTTACCCCCCTCGGGGGCAGAGGGGTTGGGAACCTCTTGTTCCCTTGTGGGTATCGGTGTGGGGGCAGATAAAGTGCTTGAGTCTGCTACCAGACCCTGGGGATTCTCTCCTTCTGTTCTTTCCCCCACATCATGGCAGAGAAAAGTGAGGCCCAGAGAGGGCCAGTTACTCACTTGCCCACAATCCATTTCCACGACCCATGCAGAGCACAGCCAGGATTTGACTCCCAGACCATCTTGATCTCAAAGCCTGTGCCCTGGGGGCTTATGGGGGGGGGAGTGAGGGTAGCAGCTCAAGTCAGTGTCCTGGGGTAGCTGCCTCAGCCTTGCCCTCCTTAGACGGCAGGTCCCTGAGTACCACCCCTTCCCCACCCCCAGCCTGGACAGTGCCTCTCTGGAGCTCTCTGCACAGCTGTACTTTTAGCAGCGCACGACACAACTCAGTTTTTGTACCAACACCATGATGAGAAAGTCAAATATTTATTAACGGGTCCTGAGCAGCTGAGAAAAATAGGCTCCTGTCCGGGGTGGGCAAGTCCTGCTGGGAACCCAGGGACTCTGGCCAGCCAGGAGTAGTCCAAGGCCTTCGGCCTGAGGCAGGGAGGGAAGAATGGGCTTTCCCTCCCCACACCATTTCTCCAGCCACCTAGAACGGGCCATGACTGCCAGCCAGCTAAGCTCCTGGACAAATGGCTGTCCGTGCCCTCCAGGTCCTCTACCTGCCTGACCTCAGATCCTAGTGAGGTGAGTGCAGCCATTTCTGGTTTGCTGGTCAAGTGTGCCGGCCAGTCCTGGTGCAGCCGGGTTGTCAGGCTGCTCTGATCCCATTTTATAGGAGGAGGGAGGGGGGCCTCAGACTGGGCCATACCTTCCCCTCACTGGGCTTTTGACATCACCACAGACGGTCAGAGCTGGATGGCTTCTTAGGTCCGTCTGATCTGACCCTTGACTTTACAGGAGGAACACAGGCCCTAAGAGGCTGACTGACGTGGCCAAGGTCACGCTGCAGGTGGCCCAGTTGAGATCTTTTTCCTACAGTGAGAAACACAGCACAGTGCAAGGTCTGGTCGTGAAACCAGGGGCCACAGGGACAAGAGGATGGGCCTCGGGCCTGACTGCCCAAGAGTAATGCCCAGGAGGAAAGGGCAGGAACCTCCTCTGCCAACTGTCCAGGCCCTGACTGGCGGCAAGGCGCCCAATTCAATTTGCTTATCTCCCTTCCTGCCTCCCTCTTTCCTGTGCCCTTCAATTACAGGCAGAGCCAGTGTCTTTTCCAATAAGTGCAAAGATGTCAAAGGGTCTGAGTGGGCAGGGGAAGCAGGATGGCCTTGGTAGCCTCCACACTCCCTAGTTCCAGCCTTGGAGCAGGAAGGAAGGACCAGCCCAGGTCATCCTGCCCAGTCCCTGCCTCCAGCCAGCAGCAGAGGGCTAGGCAGGGAACCCTGGCAGCTGGACAGCAGCAATCAAAGGGGGATGTGGGGATGCGACCAGATGCTAACATGACAAGCCCCAGGAATAAAGTAATGGTGTTCCTAATACAGAAGGGAGGGGAGGAGGGGACAGGAGTATAAGTACATAGATGCCCTCATTTTAACAGCTGGGATCAAAGGACATCATTTAAAGCTGACATCAGGTGATACAGGTTTAAAGGTATGAAGTGAAGTCCAAGGAAATGTTGTAGAAAGAAAACAAATACATTTGACCCTTGAACAACACGGGGGTTAGGAGTGCTGATCCCCCCCATACACAGTCAAAAACCCACATAAAACTTTTGACTCCCTAAAAAGTTAACCACCAATAGCCTACTGTTGACAGGAAGCCTTACCGATAGTAAAAACAGCTGATTAACACCTTGCTGATCGGCGATTTCAAGCCAGAACTTGACCTGTGCATCGGCTACTTTGGTCAGCAAGGTGTTTAAAATTAATGTAAGTGCAGACACGAGTTATCTTGTGACCGGTCAGCAAGGCGTTTTAACATATATTATGTATATTATGTGTATTATATACTGTATTCTTAAAGCAAGCTAGAGAAAAGAAAATGTTACTAAGAAAATCATAAGGAAGAGGGAATACATGTACAGTACTGTATGTATGTATTTTTAAAAATCCACATGTAAGTGCACCAATGTCCTTCAAACCCGTGTTGTTCAAGTGTCAACTGTACACCAATTTCACGATTTTGTTCATCTTAGAGAAAGTAATAGATACTGTTCCAAAGAAATAGAAAATTAGGGTATTATTTAAAGTTACACCAGTAGAACAAAAACACCAACCTTTCTCATGATTAGTAGGTGCAGAAAACAAAGCAGAGAACACGGATCACATAGGGAAAGACTTTTAAAAGCAATTACAGCAAAGCACAAAATGAGCTAAGATGAGACATCTGTCATATCAATACATGTCAATGGGCTAAGCTCTCAAAAAATTTTTAAAAGGCATTCAGGTTGAATCACAAAGCTCAGTCCAACTCTATAGTATATGAGTCACATCTAAGCAAAGTAATTCAGAAAGGCTGAAATAAAAGGATTGGCCAAGGTTTCAAGAAAAATGCGAATTAGAAGAGCAGAGGTTACTCTGAACAGATGAAACTGAATCTGCCCCCAAAGTATTAAATTCAGTAAAGAAAGATTCGAGTCACTATGAAGACTTAAGGTATTAATATTTATGTGTTAAATCACATTGCATCACCATCCACAAGGCCAAAGCTGCAGGTGCTGCAAGAAGAAATAACTGGGCCTCATTCATTTCTCTCTCTGTGGCAGGGAGGTAAGGACACAGAAGGCCTAACTCACGTAAGTAACGGGGTTGACATAATAGGTACTCACCAGACTCTGAATCCTGAAAACAGAGCCACAGCTTTTTTTTTTTTTAAGTTCCCATAAAGCCTCGAAACTCATACAAAAAAATGACCATAGATTGTATTGCAAAGAAAACTTTGATGAAATCCAAACAGGCAGAAATCATAGACAACATTTTGATCATAATGTAATAAAACTAGAAAACTAAACAAAACAAACACTGGGTGGAGAAGTGGAACTTCAGATGAGCCTTAGAGGTCAAAGAAGAAATCAAAGCCAAAATTTATAAAATTCCTAGGAAAAATGATAATAAAATACTACACACTAGAACCTATAGGATAGATATCTAAAGCAGCGTTCAGAGAACTCATAGCCTTAATTTTCCTTTTTCTTGTTTATCAGTATAAAGATTTAAGCTTCTAACTAAAAAAAAACAACCCAAAAACCACAAGTAGGAAGGTTTTAATAAAGGCATGACTTGGAAACCACACCTATCAAAGTTATAAATGCACATACTTTTGACCCAGTATATCCACTTCTAGAAATGTACCCTGTAGTTTTACCCCTTTGTGACACATCCACGCTTGTTTATTGCTGCACTGCTTGTAATGGCAACGGGCTGGGTATAGCTCTACTAAAGGGACTGGTCGAATAGATTATGGGCTCGCCCTTGCGATGGAAAACTATATGGCAAAAGAATGAGGAATCTCTTTAGATGCTGACACACAGGATGTACTGCTAAGGGATAAGTGGTGCAGGGCAGTGTGTAAAACGTGTGCGTACACACACATCTGCTGGGACGTGTGGAGAAGATCTCTTGGAAGGACGCACAAGAAGCCAACACTGGCTGCCTCTGGAAGGAGACGGGGCTGGGCAGGGTGGGGACAGGGAGGTTTCTGTCTATACACCCCCCCCCTTTTGAATACTGGACCACACGACTGTATTACCATGTCTAAAGAGAAATACGTATTAAAGAAGAAAAAAGCAACAGTGTAAGCACAGTGATAAATGGCAAGTGATCCTGTGCTGTAGGAGAGTAGACAGGGAGGGGTGGGGACTGTGGTGAACTGGAGATGTGTCCCCTTTAAGGAGGCAACAGTTCAGCTCTAATAGCTCTAGTATAGGAACAAGGGCCTCTGTTACTAGATTCTCTGATTTCCCCCCCCACCAAGAGATACTAGAAATCCAGATTTTATTCAAATCTCCCATTTTTAAATGTTTCCAAATACTTCAAAAGTTAAAGAAACCACCACCCCAGGGTGGCTAAAAATAATCAGATCAGAGGGTTTGGGATCCCTGTCCTAGGTGGTCAAAGAGGACAGATGCTTAGAGGTACCAAGTCGAGCTCCCTAGTTTGACACATTGTAAAAGCAACACCCAGAGAGGGAAAGGACATGCCCAAGGTCACACAGAGAATCGGGCCCTGAGCTGGGACCCCATTCAGGCCTACTTGCTTCCACAGTATCCTGCTCTCTGCTGATGCAGGAATGTGAGGGTCAGCGAGACAGACATGGCACATGCTGGGGTCACAGGAGGGGCTGGGGTTGGGGCCATGGTGTGGGTAGTGGTCAGAGAAGGCTGCTGGGAAGGAGGCCACACCCAGTGGGAGTTGTCCGGACAAAAGGAGTGAGTGCCACTGTTGGGGAGGGACTCCAGAAAGGCAGCACAGCATGGGCAAAGGCCTAGAGGAACACGGAGAGTTCAAGGCTGGGTCGGGGTGGGTGGACCTGCAGGGTGTGGACGGCATTCCCTGCCCAGGAACCGCCCTGCAGAGGCCCAAGATGTGAAAAGCTCCATGTGTCCAAAACCAGAAAGAAAGCCCTGTGACTCAGAGGGGGCAGAGAAGGGGAGAGGCGGAGGGGAAGGGGAGGCATGGAGGGTGTCGTGCAGGGTGTGGGTGCCCACTCACACTTGCGCAGCTCCAGGCTCTTGCTCGGGCAGGCCAGGTGCTGGCCTGGTGGGTTCTGGGTCCTCTGCAGACAGGCCAGCATGGCTGAGCTGGGGGCCTGCGGTGTGGCACACTCCGTGGCAGGGTCCCTGTGAGAAGGGAGGTGAGGCACTTGTCACATGCACTGCTTCATGCCCACCTCCCACTTCCCTTAGCTGGGAGTCACTGCCAGCAGCCTCCCACCACCCCGAAGAACACCAGAGACTTTCAAAGCAGACACTCTTTCTCCCTTATCAGACACACGAGGAACTGAGGCTCACCCGTGGCCTCACAGGCAGGAAAAGAGGCAGGGTCTCCTGAGCATTGGACTTCCACCCTGACGGCCAGAACTGACCGCTCAGAGTGCGGGTCACCTCCTCCAAGGGGCTACCCTGATGCCCCCAGGCTTCTCAGGTCCTCACGATTCTCACCCCTCCGTGTTCCCCCTGCAGGCTGTCCTTCCAGCTCCCTTACAACCACCTGTGAGCGGATCTGGGATCTGTACGCACACTCGCTTCAGCCTTGAGCTCCTCAAGGGCAAAGACCCCATCTGGCCATCTTTAGAACTGCAGGGATGGGAGCCCAGGAGCAGTGAGTGAGTATATGGGTGGGTGTTCCAGTTTACTGAAGTTGGTCCACCCAACTTCCCAGCACCCCTGGAGGGGAGGTGTCCAGGATGGCATCCCTGGGAGAGTGAAGGAGGCTCCAACCGTGACTCAGGCTGAGCCTGGCCTTAATCTCAGACTGAGCCCTGAGCCCAGGCCCCCTGACCCAGGTCCCTACCCCAAATGGAAAGGGTAGGGCCCCCCAGGGCAGCCCTGCCAGGCTGGGAAGAGGTTCCCACAAGTGGCAGCTCAGGCGTGGCTCCAGACTGGACCACATTTGCTCACTCACCTAGAATCAGATGCGCAGAGCTCACATGGAAACACACATCTTTTCTTCACAAAATCCACTTTCCTGAGGACTCAGAGTCCCTGAGGAGCGGGGTGACACAGGCAGGGCCTGCCCTGGAGGCCACAGGGAGAGAGTGGGAGTTTCTTTGCCAGGTCTCTCCTGTGCTCTCCTCCCAGGTGAGTGGAACCCTGGACATCCCTGATGTCCACCCAGCCCTGGCACCCTGTCCGCACCCCACCCCCTCACCCCGACCCACGCCCACACCCTGAGTCCCAAGCAGCCAAGCTGGGCCAACTCAATCCTCATGCTGGTTTCAAAAGAGAAAGAAGACACAGAGTGTGCAGCGTGTAAGGGGAAGAAAGGAAGTTACTTAATACTAAACAGGTGTCTGGAGCCCTAAATTCTGCCGCTTTCTCTAATAATGAAGTATTCATGAGGAAAGGCCTTTTTTCACTCCTTTCTTAAGATACTAATTTCACAACAAACTCCTTGTTACCGCGCAATTATTCCAATCCTGTATTTCCCAGAGACGGTTGCAGCCTCCTTTCTGTCCTGGCCTCGCGGTAAATGAAAGACAATCACGTAACCACCTTTCATTATGCTCTATTTTACTTTCAGCAGAGGTACTCTGAAAGAAATGATTTACACTGAAAGGGACTTTTATTCAGTTTCAAAACCAATTTTCTCCTATTACTGTCTCAAAAAAAAGAGAGAGAGAGTAGGGGGTGGGAGGGGGAGGGGAGGTGGTTCTCATCCTGCCCCCCACCCCCCCAATCGCCAGCCTTAACGCAGCGACGCAATAAAAGCTGCAGTATCCGCTTCCCGGCTTTGATTTCTGGTAATTGTAAAATATGCCATTACAATCAGGCAGAAATTATACAGTTTAAAAAGGGAATGAAGTGGGCTTATTGCAGAGATGAAAGCCCTTGACTGCGGGAACGAGGTGAGGCTCCTTGGGGACTTGGGATGTGAGCGGGCGGTGGGAGCAGCCTCGATGGGGCCCTTAAGGACACACCTGCGCACATGGGCACGCTGTGCCCGGCTGAGACACCCAGAACATTCGGCCATGCCGCGTGGGGTGCTGGACGTCCACATGCACCTGTACTCGCTGCATACGTTTTCCCGCAGATGGACACACCACTGTTGCACCCTCAGCCACACCACGTGACACGCCCCTCCACGCCCTCTGGCGCGCTCTCATGCACACACAGGCAGTCCAGGGACCGCCGCTCTGATCCATTTTAACTTAGATGCTGGCTCCCCTCCTCTGGGTATCCCCCCTCACAGCCCTAGTCACGCCCAGTTGTAACTGCAAGTTTTCACGTGTGTCTCTCTCCACTGGACTCTGAATTTCTCAGGGGCAAGGACCATGTGTTTCTTTCTCCCCAGGGCCTAGCAGAGAGCAACCATTTAATAAACAGGCGTTGAATGAATGGCTGAGTCAATGAATTGGTTGTCGATGAAGGACTGAGGCCCAGAGAAGCCAAGCGCCCCGCACAAGGTCACACAGCAAGCTGGGGACAGGACTGGGGCAGACACCTAAAACATTCATGATCTTCCCGGGACCCCCACCCTGCCCCTCCCCTCTCTGCTTAGCATCATCCTCCCATCTGCAGAAAGCCAGTCCCTCAGAGTCCCCACCCGAATTCATTACTCCCCAAGCCAGGGACCATCCTGGGAGCTTGGCTCATTTTGAAACCCTATCTGCAAATCGGGCTGTTTATAAGCCCAAGGTCTTTTGTGACTTTAATAATAAAAAAAGGGGGGGGGGAGGGAGGGGAAAATGTCGCAAGCTTTCAATGATTAGAATGCTCTGGCACCGTCCCTGACGTGGGGGCTGATAAGACGCCTTATCTCAGAGGCACCCCTAGGAAAAGGTCCCCTCCACCAGATAACACCCCCAGTTGTCGATATGCCCTTTCATAGCTAAGGATTTAGATAAAGGAAATGTGACAGGGGAGGGGAAAGAAAGCAAGGAACTTTCCAGGTCCAAGGAGGAATTAAGTCTGCCGCTCGCCTTGGCAGAACAATGCATGGGAGGATGTCTAAAGGCTGCCTTTATTTTTATTAAAAGAGCGAAGAATTGGGGCCTTTGGCCCTGCCTGCCTTTTGTCATCTCTCCCTGCCTGTCTGGCTGCAGGGGACTTTTGGGACACCGCCCCCAGGCCAGTGGGAAGGGGGGGGGACTAAAAAATGCTCACCTGAGTACTAATAACACTAGCAGTGCGTATTTACTGAGGGCTCCCTGTGCCACACCCTGTGCATCCTGCCTGCTACACCTCACCACATCCTTCCAGCAGCCTCTGTGGTGGGCTGTTTAGCCCCACTTTACAGATTAGGAAATGGTTACAAAGAGGGGAAATAATCTGCACAAGGTCCCACAGCTTTTAGGTGGCAGAGACAAGGGTGTCAATCCCCACCAGAGCCCGCATCCTCAGCATCACACTGTGCAGCCCCCACCCCTGGCTCCACCGTGGCAGGTGCTCGTCATCCCCCAGCTCCCAGTCAGCTGGGCAGGAAGGAGCAGAAGCAAAGGCCTGCTTCTCCCCAGTGCCTACATCTACTTTGGTTCTACTCTAGGAGGGGCTGGAATCACAGACAGCGAGGAGGTGAGAGGAGGGAAAGGAGGCCACTAACCCCATACGCACTCACAGAGGACAACACGTGAGGCCTGCATTGGGCAAAACTATACTGAGATGAAGAAAGCTTAGGCCCTGCCTCTTTGAAGTTATTTACCCACTCATTCACTCATTCATTCAGGCAGCAAATATTCCCTGAGCATCTTTTGGGGGCCAGCCCTGTGCCATGCACACAAAGGGGGTCCTAGATGCAATCCGTCCTTGAGGGGTTTAGAATCTTCAGTGGGGATGAGACAGGAAGCTGGGAGAAGGAAAATCAAGGAGTGGCCCACCAAAAGGGAACATCCAACCAGAACTGGCTTCCCACTCCCAATCTAGCCCTTTAAAAGTGGACTTTCCTGGCCTCTCTCTTCGGCCTCCACTATTTTCCTGAAGCAGCAGGTGGACAGAACTTTCCCTGGTGGATCCTATAGGTCAACAGTCTGCACCTCGCCAGGCTGGGCTGGCCCTGGAGCAGGGCAGAACGTGGGTACTTGGGCTCCACAGTAGGGTGAGGCTGTGATCCCAGGAAGCCCAAGGACTGCTCTACTTCCAGTCTCCATCGCCTCTCAGGTGCTGCCCACTATGGACTCTGTAGCTCCACTCAAGGCCAAATCCATCCTTGAGGGATTTAGAATCTTGAGTGGGGATAAGACAGGAAGCTGAAAAAACCCAGCAGTTCATGTAAAGTGATGAGTAGACTGTTAGGACTCTAAGTTCCCTAAAAATGTGCAAAGGAGAGTCCTATTCCTAGGACCTCACAACCTTCATGGAAAGGGGGCAGGTATCCTCCCACAGTTCTCACCTCCAGCCCCCAAGCTGAATGCAGAAGCACCATCCCTCTTCACCCTGGCCTGGCTACACACAGGGAAGACTTTGAAGGGTGGCAAGAGGCCCAGGGAGGTGAATAAGCACTGGATTGGGAGCCTGGGACAGCTGGGGTCAGATCCTGGTTATGTGGCCCTGAGTTGGTCCCTAGTACCACGAGCCAGGCCAGCATGTAGCCTCAAAAAAGCCTCAAGAGGCAAGATTTGCCTGCCCCTGGTGAGAACAGAAGGGTGGAGGGACCCTTGCTCAGGAGGCCATGGGCGATTTGGGTGAGCAGTCAGCCCCTCCCCCACAACAGGAAGATGCACATCTGTCTTTCTTCCTCACCTATCTCTATCCCTGTCTCTTACTCTACTCCCTCCCTGTCCTTCTCCTGTCTTTCCTGCTGTCACCTTTCTCGCTCCCTTCCTGACCCCACTCTCCCCTACCCCTTCCCTCCCCACCCCACTCTGTCTCTCTGCAAGGCAGCCAGAGGAGAAGCCCTCCCCCATCCCTGTTCCAAGCCTGAGGCCTTCCAGGGGACCCTGTTAATAATTAAATGTTAATCTAAAAAGCAATTTGAGCTGCAGCTAGGCAGATCTGGTTAGAGATTACATTAGCATGGAGGAGGCGAGGGTAATTTTCTTTAACCCCTCTCCTGATCTCTCAAGCCCGGAATCTTCAAGTCACACTGGAGCTGCTGATTAAACTGGCGCAGGGCTTGGCTGTGGATAAGGGGCCTGTGAAAAGTGATTATTTCCCACTGCCATTTGGGCGACAGCACCAGAAAG